CTCCTCCCCGAGACCCCTCTGCAAGGGGATCTCCAGTGGCCTACTAATGGGCTTTGGATCTCCACTCCGCACTCCCCCCATCATTCACTACACTCAGGACACTTGTGTCCGTTATTAAACACCCCGCCCCCCGACTTCTGCCCCCGACATTTAGACTAAAAACCCAAAGCAAGCTTACCGTCATGGAGTCGATTCTAGTTCATAAGAACCTTCCTGACAGTGGGTTTCTGAGGCAGTGACTCCTTTGCTAGCCTCGTCTTTCTCCGACAGAGCAGCCGGTGGGTTTGAACCACCAACCTTGAGGTTAGCAACCCAGCACACAACCCATGACGCCACCAGGGTGCCTCTTTTGGCCAAAGGCGTGTGGGAAAGCAGGGCCAAGGAGGTGTAGGCAGGATTGGGGTGCTGCGGTAACTCGTCTGCTGCCAGGGTTGGAAGTGGCAGGGTTGTTAAGCTCGTGTTGCACGACTCCTGGACCCACCTTGGGCACCTCCTCAGACCTCTGCTGGCTGGGCCTGGGCATCTGCATGCCCGGTGCTGCCACCGCCCCCACCCTTGCCTCAGGATTCAAGTGCACAGAGAAACTTTCCACTTCCTTCCTGGGAAGGGCTGTATGTGAATAGTAGGCATAGCTCAGTCTCGGGGGCTCTCGAGTGTGTTGGGGCACCCCCAGGCAGAGGGGTCCCCCAGGCCCATGCTGACAGCAGCCAGTCTGTGCCTTGTCTCCCTGGGGTCTCCAGGAGTCACTCCTCCCTGCCGGGTGAGTGAGGGGGCGAAGGACTTAGATTCCCCCAGGGCTGGAGCCCCTGAAACCCACACCGCCGCTGCAACCAGAAAACAGCTCGTGCCAGCACCACCTGCAGCTCTGGGCTAGAGAGGTGCAAAGGAGAGCTGGAAACCCAGCCAGGTGGAGGTGGCTGGGCGGCTCCTCAACGCTGTCTCCCGGGTGTGGCTCTGTGCCATGGACAATCAATGCCCCGCTGGGCCCAGTGACTGGGTCCTTCTGCCAACTCAGATGTCCTCAGTGGGTCAGTCAGTTTCCCTCCTCTCGTGAGGATGTGTGTGACAGGCCATGCTGGTGCAGAGGACACAGAGGGAAACTGGGGCTGTGGGCTCACTAAGTAACCTAAGTACACAAGCAGGGGCACTCTGGAGCTTGGAGCCACAGTCTCTGTTGGTGGCCTCCTCTGTCCCCGGCTGCCTGGCTGATCATGCTCTGACTTTTCCTGTCTGTTCCTCGGGGTGCTTCACCCACAACCTCGCCCTCACGCCCTCCTTGGGGTGGGTGGCTGGGGAGGCTCCTCGGTCTCCTGGGCATGGGAGAGACAAGGTGACAGACGCGTCGTGACAGGGAAGCAGCTGCTGCGTGGCAGGCCCCTGCGTGGGCTCCTTGCTCATCCTGTGCCACCTCTGTGTGTTTGCAGGGACGATGGAGACGCTGAGAGACAAGACCCTGGAGGAGCTGGAGCAGATGCAGGACGACCCCGAGGTCATCGCACGGCTGGCCCTCGAGTCCCCCCAGGTAGAGGGACACTCGCTCCTTCCCACGCCCTCTCCACGACTCAGTACCGCTGTGTCTCCGGCTCCTAGAGCCTCTGGAGACCCAGGGGCCCAAGGACCAGGGGCCCCTGGGCTCCAGCAGGATGAGGGCCATCTGGTAGCTGCCACCCTTCCCCCAGGGCCAGGTTTGGCCCCCCTGAGCCCTCCTGGGCTGGGCTCATCGCCTGGTCAGGGTTCCCATTGGTGCCCTGTACCTCGTCCTCCCAGCTCCGTGTCCTGGTACACAGAGCCAGGCGGGAGAGGTCAGGCTGCGTGGCCACAGGACTGTACAGGTCACACCTGCCAGCAAGGTGAGCCCATGGTCTCGTAAAGCACCACCACCACGCCCCACAGCCCTCCTGGTCCAGGGCCCCCGCCCTTCAGGGGGACACGGTGGGCCAGTGATCGCCTGTGCCCTGCTGAGCTGGGACACTTGTCCCTCTTCTCCCTCCCCCTGCTGCCGCAGTTCCCAGGCTTCCTGGGAGGCAGCAGCCTGGACAGACTGATGCGTCTGTGAGGAAGCGCAGGCGGAGCCCCCTGGGAAGTGCCCACTTCCAGGCGGGCAGGCAGCGTGTGTCTGTGTGTTGTGGGGCTGCCTGCGGGACAGAGGCTCCATCCTGGTGGCAGTGGCTCCTTGCTACTGCCGAGCAAGCATTGTCCCAGCAGCCTCAGGCTTGGCAGCTCCCGTTCTCTTAACTGCCCCCTCCCCCGCCGCCTCCCCACCCTCATAACACGGACTGGGCAGGGTTCGGGAGCTGCTGCCTCACCAGCTGTCAGCACCGGGACTCCCTTCAGCGGGAGAGGCTGGGGGGAGCCTTCAGCAGGGCATATCCAGGCCACACCCAGGCACAAAGGCGGAGAAACCTCTGTTGACCCTTGTGGCTGTAGGCATGGCCAACAGCTTTTGGCCACCCCCTCTGCCCCTCTGCAGGGGCAAGTCTCCTGAGTGAGCGCCATGGTCTTGTCCCCTCCGAGTGATTTGTTGGGGGCCTGGTTGTGTGTCTGGCCCGTAGGTTGGGCCTGGGCCCTCAGTCTACCTCAGTGGGTCTCTGGACTCTGAGGCTCGGCCCTTAGGTACCTCCATCCTGGAAAGCTCTGGCTTTCCCGTGCTACCCTGGCCCACCCCTCGGGCTGGTGCTCACTTACGAGGCCAAAGGCTGTTCGGAGGCTTCAGTGCCGGCCTCCAACCTGGCTCCAACCCGCGGCTCCAACCTGGCTCTGAGCATGCTGTACGGCGCACCCCCCCCACCCCCCCACCCCGCCCCGCACGCGTGAGAGAGTGGCCCCAGTAGCCACTGGGCTGCCCGGGGTGGGGAGTGGTAGTGAGGTGGTGGAGATGGTGCTCCCGCCCCTCAGGTCCAGGACCTCCAGCTGGAGCGGGAGATGGCGCTGGCCACGAACCGGAGCCTGGCTGAGCAGAACCTGGAGTTCCAGGCGCCCCTGGAGATCAGCCGCTCAAACCTCTTGGACAAGTACCAGGAACTCCGAAAGCTGGTGGAGCGGTGCCAGGAACAGAAGGCCAAGCTGGGTAGGTGCCTGGGCTGCGGGCTCACTGTGCTACCTGTCTCAGGTGTGAGGGGAGGCGGAGAGGGATGGCGCCCGTCCACAGTTGCAGCTGTGAGTATGGCGCCCGTCCACAGTTGTAGCTGCGAGTAGCACAGTTTGGGGTGATTCTGGGGCTTGCACCAACCCAGACCACGCGGCTGGGGCACCTGGACAGGGGAGGGGCCGGGGCCAGCATCCGGGTCCTGCGGGAACTTGACAGGTGAGGTCTGCTGCTTCATGATGCTGGGCGGGATGCAGATGGGAGCCCGAGTCCTTGCTTCATCCTGGGTGGGCTGGGGAGATGGCTCAGCCAGGGTCTGGGTGTGGCTCTCAGGACTCCTGCACAGGAGGGGACCCGGCAGTGGGCCTTTGGGCGCGCAGTACCTCACTGTCATTGCTGTGAATCGGCTGCCCCTCTGAAATGCCGCGGGTGCCACCTCCTTCCAGAGACCTTTTCTTCGGCGCTGCAGCCCGGCACCTTGTTGGACCTCCTGCAGGTGGAGGGCCTGAAGACCGAGGAGGAGTCTGAGGTGAGATGGGCAGCTGGCACCCCGCCCCTGACCCGGGTCTGCAGAGGGCTGGCCGAGGGCGCTCTCGGGACGTGGCAGAGATGAGTGGCACCTTTACCCTCAGGGAGACTCTTGGGGTGCAGCCTCCTCCGCCGTCCTTGCAGCCAGGCTGCTGTGGGGCTCTGCAGCCCAGGCTGGAAGGCACTCCCAGGCTGTGGGCTGATGTGGCTTAGCCCTCACCCAGCTCCTCACATGTAGACACGGTGCCACTGGGGGCCTGGCCCAGTGCTCAGGGAGGGTGCCATCCATGGTGGCCCCAGCAGAGACAGTCTTGCCCTCAGAGAGCTGCCACTGAGAGGGCAGATGACAGACATGGAGGGTGTGTATGACACTGCAGACAGTGCACAGTAAGGACTCGAGTGGATCCAG